GGGGGAAGGGGGGGGTGTGCAGCACCACCTAATGGCTGTAATGGGAAAATAGCCAAGTATCATGCCAAGGGGACAGCCCCACCTACTGGCCATAATGGGAAAATAGTCAAGTACCCTGCCAAAGGGACAGCGCCACCTAATAGCCATAATGGGGAAAATAGCCTAGTATCTTCCCAAGAGAGGCAGCTCCACCTAATGGTCATATTGGGAAAATAGCCTAGTAACCTGCCAAGGGGAGGGGGGGAGATAGCCAAGTACAGTGCCAAGGTGACAGCTCCAGCTAGTGGCCATAATGGGAAATAGCCTAGTACCTTGCCAAGGGGGGGCAGCACCACCTAATGGTCATAATGGAAAAATAGCCAAGTATCTTGCCAAGAGAGGCAGCTTCACCTAATGGCCATAGTGTAAAACTAGCCTAGTAACCTGCCAAAGGGGGAAGGGGGGGTGTACAGCACCACCTAATGGATGTAATGGGAAAATAGCCAAGTACCATGCCAGGGGGACAGCTCCACCTAACAGCCATAATGGGGAAAATAGCCTAGTATCTTCCCAAGAGAGGCAGCTCCACCTAATGGCCATATTGGGAAAATAGCCTAGTAACCTGCCAAGGGGAGGAGGGGGGGGAGATAGCCAAGTACCATGCCAAGGGGACATCTCCAGCTAGTGGCCATAATGGGAAATAGCCTAGTACCTTGCCGAGGGGGGCAGCGCCACCTAATAACCATAATGGGGAAAAAGCCTAGTAACCTGCCGGAGGGGGGGGGGGGAATAGCCAAGTACCTTGCCAAGAGGACAGCTCCACCTAGTGGCCATAATGGAAATAGCCTAGTACCTTGCCAAGGGGGGGGGAAGCACCACCTAATGGTCATAATGGGAAAATAGCCTAGTAACCTGCTGGAGGGGGGGGGGGGGGGGGGAATAGCCAAGTACCTTGTCAAGAGGACAGCTCCACCTAGTGGCCATAAAGGAAATAGCCCAGTATCTTGCCAAGAGAGCCAACACCACCGAATGGGCATATTGGGAAAATAGCCTAGTAACCTGCCAAGGGGAGGGGGGGATAGCCAAGTACCTACTGTGCCAAGAGAACCGCTCCACCTAGTGGCCATAATCGGAAATAGCCTAGAACCTTGACAAGGGGGGCAGCGCCACCTAATGACCATAATGGGGAAAAGGCCTAGTATGGTACCATGGGGACATCTCCATCTAGTGGCCAAAATAAGAAAAGAGCCTTATACAATTCGATTTTGCACAGAACGAACGTATATGCAGTTTCACAGGAAGAACAGCAATACACCCCTTTAAAATCTATTGATCATCATCAGATATATATATTTTTACATTGTCCTGTACACACGTGCTAAATAATGCGTACGTTCAACATTTCAAGGTATTTATGAAACAGGAACATGGAAACGAGAATAAAACGAGAGGGCATTGAGCTGTGAAATGATGAAGGTGCTTGGAAGGATGTTGTATAAACAGGGCATGTGATTGGCTGGCCAATATTGGGGTTGAATCTAAAACAGGCCCCCTCGTGCTCAGAATGCGGAGAGTTCCAAGGACAGCTTCACTTTAAAACCCATTAGCGACTCGCCGCTATTATTGTATCTGATGACTCATTAGAGATGCGATATTAGTGACAATTTTCGGTTGTGAGGGCGCGAGATACGCTGCCGCGTTTGCCGCTCAATTAACCGTATCAGAACGTATTAGGTAAATTACTATATTTGGAAGGAAAATATTTACTTGGATGGAGAAAGAAGGATTAATATGGAGCGTGAAGAGGGAATTTATATGAGAGTTCCCCGAGTCACCGGCACCACTTAATACAAGGATCTCACAAAACAGAGACAGAGCTGAACTCCGTACAAACAACTGAACACAAAAGATCAGATATACAGTATATACCGTATGTAGATCGTATGTAGACCGTATGTAGACCGTATGTAGACCGTATATAGACCGTATATAGACCGTATGTGGACCGTATGTAGACCGTATATAGACCGTATGTAGACCGTATATAGACCGTATGTAGACCGTATATAGACCGTATATAGACCGTATATAGACCGTATGTAGACCGTATATAGACCGTATATAGACCGTATATAGACCGTATGTAGACCGTATATAGACCGTATATAGACCGTATATAGACCGTATGTAGACCGTATATAGACCGTATATAGACCGTATATAGACCGTATGTAGACCGTATATAGACCGTATATAGACCGTATATAGACCGTATGTAGACCGTATGTAGACCGTATGTAGACCGTATATAGACCGTATATAGACCGTATGTAGACCGTATGTAGACCGTATATAGACCGTATGTAGACTGTATATAGACCGTATGTAGACCGTATGTAGACCGTATGTAGACTGTATATAGACCGTATGTAGACTGTATATAGACTGTATGTAGACCGTATGTAGACCGTATGTAGACCGTATATAGACCGTACGTAGACCGTATGTAGATCGTATGTAGACCGTATGTAGACCGTATATAGACCGTATATAGACCGTACGTAGACCGTATGTAGACCGTATATATGAGCTGCTTCCCCTGGACCAGGGAAGGAAAAATAGAAGCAGAATAAACTTCAACTTTAAAATATGTAATAACCAGGGGTGGACTGACCATTCAAGCACTCGGGCACTGCCCGAGGGCCCAGGGTCAGTAGGGGGCCCCATGAAATGCCCCTGGTACCTCTTTTATAGGCTTTTTTGGGGGTGCTTTGAGTGTGGGCAAGGACACAGGGGCCCCATGATCCCCTATTGCCCGGGGGCCCCATGAAATGCCCCTGGTACCTATTTTATAGGCTTTTTTGGGTGTGCTTTGAGTGTGGGCAAGGACACAGGGGCCCCATGATCCCCTATTGCCCGGGGGGCCCCATGAGTTGTCAGTCCGCCCCTGATAATGAACAAAAAAGTGCAGCGCTATACATTCAAAAGTACTAATAACCATAAAATACATGAAAAATTAGAATGTCCAATAATGTGCAAAAAATATATCTATAAAAAACAAAAAGTCTTTAGTGCAAAATAAAAGTTCAAATAATTCCAGATAAAAATTGTGATTTCAAAAAAAAATACATACATGCAACATATATGTCAAGAAAAGTATATAAATAAAAAAATAAATAAAAAAAATATAAAACTTTCTTGTGGATCCACCATCACCAGCACCTCAAAAAATACTGCCGCTTACCAGACATATATGACCCCACAATTTACCACCTCCTGTCCGGCCATTGTATATAAACGGCCGGACGGTGGCAGTGCAGGGTCGGGTGGCAGTTTATAAACGGCCTCCCCGCACCCTGCCTGCAGCACCGCGGACTGATGCCCGCTGTGTCTGTCCTCCAGACACCATGGAATACCGATCGTCAGACGGGACCTCTGTTTGAGGTCCCAATCATGTGATCACTGATTGGCCAATCAGAGATCATATGCAGAGTAGTAAGCAAGATGTCACTTCTGACATCGTTGCTTACTACGTGTGAAATCTGTGAGATCACATGGTACAGGGCTATTCACAACAGCCTTGTACCATGTGACAAGCTGTGACCAATCACAGCTCACACAGTAGTTCTCAATGGCTGCAAGAATGCAGCCAGAGAGAAGGAGAACTCATTTCTTTTACAGCCTTTATGGGTGTAAAAGCAATCAGTGTAAAAAAAAAAATCTTCATCACCCCCCACAAGTAGTACAGTGTCACTATGGTGACATTGTACTGCTAGGGTGACAGTATGTAAAAAAAAAACAAACAAACAAATAATAATATAAAAAAAAATAAAATAAAAATGTAAAAAAAATGTTTAAATATTATAATTTTTGGTTATAAACTAATTTGGCTTATTTTTTTTTTTTTTACTAAAAAGATAATGGAATAAATTTTGGCCGAGATTTATGATGAAATATTATTTATTTGCAAAATTGTATAAGAAAAACACTTTTTTTCAAAATTTTTGGACATTTCATTTACATAGAAAAAAAAAATACAAATCCCAGTGGTGAATAGATACCACCAAAATAAAGCTTTATTTGTCTCAAAAAAATGCTAAAATATTCATATGGGTACAGTGTTGCATGACCGCGCAATTGTCATTCAAAGTGTGATAGCGCTGAAAGCTGAAAATTTGCCTGGACAGGAAGGGGGTGAAAGTGTCCGGACTGGAAGGGGGGGGAAAGTGTCCGGACTGGAAGGGGGGAAAGTGTCCGGACTGGAAGGGGGGAAAGTGTCCGGACTGGAAGGGGGTGAAAGTGTCCGGACTGGAAGGGGGGGGGAAGGGTCCGGACTGGAAGGGGGGGGAAGGGTCCGGACTGGAAGGGGGGGAAAAGTGTCCGGACTGGAAGGGGGTGAAAGTGTCCGGACTGGAAGGGGGGAAAGTGTCCGGACTGGAAGGGGGGGAAAGTGTCCGGACTGGAAGGGGGTGAAAGTGTCTGGACTGGAAGGGGGGTGAAAGTGTCTGGACTGGAAGGGGGTGAAAGTGTCCGGACTGGAAGGGGGTGAAAGTGTCCGAACTGAAAGGGGGGGAAAGTGTCTGGACTGGAAGGGGGTGAAAGTGTCTGGACTGGAAGGGGGTGAAAGTGTCCGGACTGGAAGGGGGTGAAAGTGTCCGGACTGGAAGGGGGGAAAGTGTCCGAACTGAAAGGGGGGGAAAGTGTCCGAACTGGAAGGGGGGGAAAGTGTCCGGACTGGAAGGGGGGGAAGCGTCCGGACTGGAAGGGGGGGAAGCGTCCGGACTGGAAGAGGGGGAAGCGTCCGGACTGGAAGGGGTGGAGAGTGTCTGGACTGGAAGGGGGGGAGAGTGTCCGGATTGGAAGGGGGTGAAAGTGTCCGGACTGGAAGGGGGTGAGAGTGTCCGGACTGGAAGGGGGGAAAAGTGTCCGGACTGGAAGGGGGGGAAAGTGTCCGGACTGGAAGGGGGTGAAAGTGTCCGGACTGGAAGGGGGGAAAGTGTCCGGATAGAAAGGGGGGGAAAGTGTCCGGACTGGAAGGGGGGGAAAGTGTCCGGACTGGAAGGGGGGGAAAGTGTCCGGACTGGAAGGGGGTGAAAGTGTCCGGACTGGAAGGGGTGAAAGTGTCCAAACTGGAAGGGGGTGAAAGCGTCCGGCCTGGAAGGGGGGGAAAGTGTCCGGCCTGGAAGGGGTGAAAGTGTCCGGACTAAAAGGGGGTGAAAGTGTCCGGACTGGAAGTGGATGAAAGTGTCCGGACTGGAAGGGGGTGAAAGTGTCCGGACTGGAAGGGGTGAAAGTGTCCGGACTAAAAGGGGGTGAAAGTGTCCGGACTGGAAGTGGGTGAAAGTGTCCGGACTGGAAGGGGGTGAGAGTGTCCGGACTGGAAGGGGGTGAGAGTGTCCGGACTGGAAGGGGGGGAAAGTGTCCGGACTGGAAGGGGGGGAAAGTGTCCGGACTGGAAGTGGGTGAAAGTGTCCGGACTGGAAAGGGGTGAAAATGTCCAGAAATGAAGTGGTTAAAATATGTACACACCAATGCAAGGATCTGATCACAGCTCCCATTTACATGGGAAGGAGGGACGCCATTATATTTATGCCAGACAGGCACCCCTGCCTCATCTCCAGTCATAGCCAATCAATGAGTAAAGGTCACATTGGTATATTTATCTACAAAATCAAAGTTGGCAAAAAGACTAAAAAAAAAATCCAAACCATCTTCCCTCATACCGTCGTATCTGGAGGCTGCACAGGAAACTGACAGCATCAGAAATATCTGTTGACCATACACAGTACAATCTTCTATAGCAGACAAAAGAGAACGACGATTGAGGATGAAAGAGGAGCACAGGGGTTTGGTTCCAAAAAAGGAACAGTTGGGTTCTAAGGCTTCACATATATTTTATATACAAACAGATCAGACATACCTTTGTGACCACCTTCTACAGGGTAGGTCCCCCGTTTTGCCACCAACCTGACCAGCCACCAGCCCTGACCCATGGAGGCATGGACTCCACTAGACCTCTGTAGGAATGCTGTGCTATCTGGCACCAAGCCGTCACTAGCAGATCCTTTAAGTCCTGTAAGTTGTGAGATGGGGAACCTCCATGGACCAGAGTTGTTTTTCCAGCACATCCCGCAGATGCTCGATTGGATTGAGATATAGAGTGTGTGGAGGCCAAGTCAACTACTGAACCATTTTTGCAGTGTGGCGGGGTGCTCTATCCTGCTGAAAGGGGCCACTGCCATCAGGGAATACCATTTCCATGAAGGGGTGGACTTGGTCACCAGCAATGTTTAGGTAGGTGGGACGTGTCAAGTAACATCCACATGAATGGCAGGATCCAAGGTTTCCCAGAAGAACAAGAAGGCCAACGCATCACACCGCCGCCGCCGTCTTGTCTTCATCCCATACTGCATCCTGGTGCCATCTCCTCCCCAGTAATCTGTATATAAGGTGACGGTGTGTGTCTTGTCAGATGGTGGAGGAGGAAGCAGTGCTGGATCAGTAATCTGTATATAAGGTGACGGTGTGTGTCTTGTCAGATAGTGGAGGAGGAAGCAGTGATGGATCAGTAATCTGTATATAAGGTGACGGTGTGTGTCTTGTCAGATGGTGGAGGAGGAAGCAGTGATGGATCAGTAATCTGTATATAAGGTGACGGTGGGTGTCTTGTCAGATAGTGGAGGAGGAAGAAGCAGTGCTGGATCAGTAATCTGTATATAAGGTGACGGTGTGTGTGTCTTGTCAGAAAGTGGAGGAGGAAGCAGTGCTGGATCAGTAATCTGCATATAAGGTGACGGTGTGTGTCTTGTCAGATAGAGGAGGAGGAAGCAGTGCTGGATCAGTAATCTGTATATAAGGTGACCGTGTGAGTCTTGTCAGATAGTGGAGGAGGAAGCAGTGCTGGATCAGTAATCTGTATATAAGGTGACGGTGTGAGTCTTGTCAGATGGTGGAGGAGGAAGCAGTGCTGGATCAGTAATCTGTATATAAGGTGACGGTGTGTGTCTTGTCAGATAGAGGAGGAGGAAGCAGTGATGGATCAGTAATCTGTATATAAGGTGACGGTGCGTCTTGTCAGATAGCAGAGGAGGAGGAAGCAGTGCTGGATCAGTAATCTGTATATAAGGTGACGGTGTGTGTCTTGTCAGTTAGTGGAGGAGGAATCAGTGATGGATCAGTAATCTGTATATAAGGTGACCGTGTGAGTCTTGTCAGATGGCGGAGGAGGAAGCAGTGCTGGATCAGTAATCTGTATAAAGGATTCCATTTGATACATGATATTATTATGTAACATTTCATATTTACTGAATTCTAAATTTAAAAAAAAAAAGAAAACAAATATTCACAAATGTTTCTTTTTAGAATTAAAAATCAAGAAAACATAATAATGACATCCAGCCTGCATTCCCCTTGAAGCAGAGCAGACGCAGAGCGGATGCAGAGCGGACTCCGCGGCGCGGTGTTTTTCGGCGCAGTGGCCATAAAGCAGGAAGCCATTCCTCTTGTGTGCGGACGGTTCCCGTGTCCCCGGCAGACATTGCTCTGACCTTCCCGCGCGGCTCACGCGCACCTTGTCTGCAGCTGGTGCTGAATCAGTGGTCGGAGGTGAGACGCGGCAGCCTGCCGCTGGGGGTGATGCATCTCCCGATCGATCGCGGCCCATGAATAGTGCATATTAATTTCCATAAGCGCTGCCCTCATCCTCCGGCTTCCTCCTCCAGGCCTGTCCTGGTTGACATTGCTGGAATTAAGGGGCACGGAGACGGCTGTCATCTTCCAGGGAACGGCCTGGTAATTAGAGAGCGCCGGGGCAGCGCGCCAGGGACACGGATCGGGAGATTACATGTCTGGCGTGTCCCGGAAAACGCCGTTACAAGCCGTCGCTGTCAGGTGCCAAGGTTTGCCGGAAAAAACCCGAACGATTTGCGCCTCGGGGGGACATTTTTTGGAGCTGCAGGACTAAGGCTTGGTTCACATGTTCGCGTGTCAGGAACATGCGGTAATGCACGCGACATGTGCTGCTCTTTAATGGGGTGCCATTCATTCTTAGTGGCACCCCTGTGCGTTGGTAACCACACGTGTTTTTACACGTGACCAAGTGGTTCAATGCGGCGCAATTTTACCAAAAAATCATTGAAATTAAAGGGTTGCCCTACATGCGACACGCAAGAGCACACGCATGCATGCACGCTTAACGATCATCCAGCGCCAATCATACTAATTACTAGGGAGGAGCTTAGCGTTTAGAGCATTCTGTGCAGGGGCGGACTGACCATTTGGAAACTTGGGCACTGCCCGAGGGCCCGGGGTCAGAAGGGGGCCTATGAGATGCCCCTGGTACCTTTTTCATAGGCTTTTTTGAGTTTGGGCAAGAACACAGGGGCCCCATTATCCTCTGTTGCCCGGGGGCCCCATGAGTTGTCAGTCCACCCCTGGTTCTGTGTGGACGAACGTCTGGCCTTCCAGTTATCGCCCGCCACATCCTTTCCAACCAATGACGTCACCCAACTCATTCACTTACATGGCCAAGGAGGACCTACAGCACTACCTACATATGGCCATGACCATATATGGGCAATGATTCCATCATGTTTCCCGCCCCTTCCTTTATACAGACGATGACAGCTTGTGGAGCTGTCATTTGGCTATGGGTAACATCAGGATCAGTCATGCACTGCTGGGTCACTGGCGGTTCCATCATGTTCCCCGCCCCTTCCTCCTTTATACAGATGATGACAGCTTGTGGAGCTGTCATTTGGCTATGAGTAGCATCAGGATCGGCCATGTGCTGCTGGGTGACTGGCAGTTCCATCATGTTCCCTGCCCCTTCCTTTATACAGATGATGACAGCTTGTGGAGCTGTCATTTGGCTATGGGTAGCATCAGGATAGGTCATGTGCTGCTGGGTCACTGGTGGTTCCATCATGTTCCCCGCTCCTTCCTTTATGATGACAGCTTGTGGAGCTGTCATTTGGCTATGAGTAGCATCAGGATCATCCATGTGCTCTGGGTCACTGGCGGTTCCATCATGTTCCCCGCCCCTTCCTTTATACAGATGATAACAGCTTGTGGAGCTGTCATTTGGCTATGGGTAGCATCGGGATAAGCCATGTGCTGCTGGGTCACTGGCAGTTCCATCATGTTTCCTGCCCCTTCCTTTATACAGATGATGACAGCTTGTGGAGCTGTCATTTAGCAATGGGTAACATCAGGATCGGCCATGTGTGCTGGGTCACTGGCGGTTCCATCATGTTCCCCGCCCCTTCCTCCTTTATACAGATGATAACAGCTTGTGGAGCTGTCATTTAACTATGGGTAGCATCGGGATCGGCCATGTGCTGCTAGGTCACTGGTGGTTCCATCATGTTTCCCTGCCCCTTTCTTTATACAGATGATGACAGCTTGTGGAGCTGTCATTTGGCTACGGGTAGCATCGGGATCGGCCATGTGCTGCTGGGTGACTGGCAGTTCCATCATGTTCCTTGCCCCTTCCTTTATACAGATGATGACAGCTTGTGGAGCTGTCATTTGGCTATGGGTAGCATCAGGATAGGTCATGTGCTGCTGGGTCACTGGTGGTTCCATCATGTTCCCCGCTCCTTCCTTTATGATGACAGCTTGTGGAGCTGTCATTTGGCTATGAGTAGCATCAGGATCATCCATGTGCTCTGGGTCACTGGCGGTTCCATCATGTTCCCCGCCCCTTCCTTTATACAGATGATAACAGCTTGTGGAGCTGTCATTTGGCTATGGGTAGCATCGGGATAAGCCATGTGCTGCTGGGTCACTGGCAGTTCCATCATGTTTCCTGCCCCTTCCTTTATACAGATGATGACAGCTTGTGGAGCTGTCATTTGGCAATGGGTAACATCAGGATCGGCCATGTGTGCTGGGTCACTGGCGGTTCCATCATGTTCCCCGCCCCTTCCTCCTTTATACAGATGATAACAGCTTGTGGAGCTGTCATTTAACTATGGGTAGCATCGGGATCGGCCATGTGCTGCTAGGTCACTGGTGGTTCCATCATGTTTCCCTGCCCCTTTCTTTATACAGATGATGACAGCTTGTGGAGCTGTCATTTGGCTACGGGTAGCATCGGGATCGGCCATGTGCTGCTGGGTGACTGGCAGTTCCATCATGTTCCTTGCCCCTTCCTTTATACAGATGATGACAGCTTGTGGAGCTGTCATTTGGCTATGGGTAGCATCAGGATAGGTCATGTGCTGCTGGGTCACTGGTGGTTCCATCATGTTCCCCGCCCCTTCCTTTATACAGATGATGACAGCTTGTGGAGCTGTCATTTGGCTATGAGTAGCATCGGGATCATCCATGTGCTCTGGGTCACTGGCGGTTCCATCATGTTCCCCGCCCCTTCCTCCTTTATACAGATGATGACAGCTTGTGGAGCTGTCATTTGGCTATGGGTAGCATCAGGATAGGTCATGTGCTGCTGGGTCACTGGTGGTTCCATCATGTTCC